ATGGGAGGGGCAGGAGGGAGGGGGAGCTGGAGCCCCCCCCCATGTTGGGGGGGGCAGATAGTGGGGGAAGGGGACACCCCCCCTCCCCGGGTGAAAGGGGCAGGGAGCAGGTTACTAAGGGGCCGCCCTCCCGTGGAGGAGAAAGGAGAATCGTTGGGGCTGAGGGAGGAAAGAGCCCCCCCCATATGAAGGAGAAGGGAGATGGAGGGGCAGGAGGGAGGGGGAGCTGGAGCCCCCCCCCATGTTGGGGGGGGCAGATAGTGGGGGAAGGGGACACCCCCCCTCCCCGGGTGAAAGGGGCAGGGAGCAGGTTACTAAGGGGCCGCCCTCCCGTGGAGGAGAAAGGAGAATCGTTGGGGCTGAGGGAGGAAAGAGCCCCCCCCATATGAAGGAGAAGGGAGATGGCTGTGGGGTTAATATGGGGGTCATAAGTGAGTCCTCTGAGGAGGGAAAGGGATAGCTGGGAGGTGCAGTCTCTGAAGATCCCCTTAGCGCTTGAGGGGAGATGCAGCCCCCCACAGGAGGGGTGGGTGGCTGGGGGGGGGGGGAATCGTTGGGGCTGAGGGAGGAAAGAGCCCCCCCCATATGAAGGAGAAGGGAGATGGCTGTGGGGTTAATATGGGGGTCATAAGTGAGTCCTCTGAGGAGGGAAAGGGATAGCTGGGAGGTGCAGTCTCTGAAGATCCCCTTAGCGCTTGAGGGGAGATGCAGCCCCCCACAGGAGGGGTGGGTGGCTGGGGGGGGGGGAGTTTGGGGAAGAGGGGGGGGGGAGGAACCCAACATCCAACCCACTCCCTTCCCAGCAGGCCCTGGGGCGATGGAGCCAGACTACAAGCGCAGGAAGATGCAGGAGCTGGACGACCCCCCATGGGAGGCCTTGCTGGTACTTCCTGAGCTGGAATCCCAGGAGGTGGAGCTGATCCTGGCCTATGCTGCCCCCGTGTTGCTCAAGACTGAAACATCCCGCCTGGTGCAGCAGCTGTCGGCTGCGCGCCCCCTTACGGAGCTCCCACACCTTAAGCGTGTGCGGGCACGTGGCGGAACTCAGCCGTTGGAGGTGCTCCTCTGCCTGGCCAGCCCCTCGCAGGACACAGGGGCCTTGCAGACGCTGTCGGAGCTGCTCCCGGATGGACAGGTGGACATCTGTGGCCTGGGAGAGCCCTTCCTAGTGCAGGTGCCTGCACGTGCCCCCCTCACCCGGCCCCAGTTCGAAGAAGCCGCCCGGCACTGGCCCACAGCCTTCCATGAAAACAAGCGGACCAGCCAGGCTCTGGCCGGGCAACTCTTCACTCCACAAGACAAGGCAGCCATGCAAGGTCACATGGAGCAAGCTATCCATGCTGCACGCCAGGGGGCGGAGCTGGGGATGGTGCCAGTGGGCGCTGCTGTGGTTGACACGGCCACAGGACGGGTCCTGGCTGTGGGGCATGACTGCAGGAAGGGCCTCCACCCACTACTGCATGCCACCATGGTCTGCATTGACCTGGTGGCCTGCGGCCAGGGTGGAGGAGCCTACAGCTACCACGACTATCCTGCTTGCACCTTCCTGCCTTCTGATGAACATGCTGTATCTGGCGATGGCCTTCCCTACATCTGCTCCGGTTATGACCTGTACCTCACCCGTGAGCCCTGTGCCATGTGCGCCATGGCCCTGGTCCACTCCAGAATTCAGAGGGTCTTTTATGGTGTGGCCTCCCCACACGGGGCTTTGGGGACAAGATACCGCATCCATGGCCGCAAAGACCTGAACCACCGCTATGAAGTCTTTAGAGGCATCCTGGAGGGGCCATGCCAACGCTTGGGCCAGGAGGTTGCTAGCTAAGCGGCTGTTTTTATATGGCTTGTTTTTATACCATTTGTTTTAAAAGCTGAGCTTTGCTTTTTTTTTTAAATAAATTTGTTTTAACAGGGTTATGGCAGCATTGGTTCTCAAGGGCATGTTGACCACCAGATCTGTGCCCATTTTCCCCATGGACGGGTGGGCTTCCTGAGTGACCAACCATGCTGCAGGGAGTGTGCGTGTGTAGTGGTGTGTGTGACTATGTAGTTCTGGTTGTGTTTGCCTGAAACCTTCACTTGCCCCTTAGGGACCATGAAGCAGCAAGTGAAGCTTCCCTGTGGGGAAGCTACCCACCTGCACTGGCTCTTCCAGCCAAGGCCATGCCTCTCACTTGAGCCCTCCGTTGGGGTGGTTCTTTCTCAGAGCCTAGGCCTGGCTGGAATCCAGCTCTCATTCTCTGCGAGGACTATAACGGAGCTCTCATCTGTGGTTGGAGCCCAGAACCCCACCCCCACTCTGAGGCCTCACCCCCCTGACTGCCTTCCCCGACTGCTCCCTCCTGCAGCCTGGAGACTGATAGCTCTGCTAGAGCCTTTCCACCCTGGGTCCATGGTAGGAGGAGATTTTTCTGGGGGCCCCAAACTTGCCACTGGCCTCCATCCCTCCCCAGGTTCCATTATGTGCCTCCCACACCAGGGACCATGTCCCAAGTGAAGATTGTAGCAGGACAGCATGGCTGCTGGAGGAATTGAGGAGCATCACATAACTGAGAGAGCTGCTAGGACTCTGGCCTGGCCTGGCTGCTTGTGCTAGCAGAGCCCACTTAAGAACTGGACTCTAATGCTCAGAGGGGCATTCTCATGCCTCTACTCTGCGCTGGTTAGGCCTCAGTTGGGCTACGTCTAGATTGCATCCCTTTTAAGAAAAAGGGATGCAAATTAGGCGTATCGCAATTGCTAATGAAGCGGGGATTTAAATCTCCGCTGCTTCATTAGCATAAAAATGGCTGCCGCTTTTTTTCAGCATGGAGCTTTGCCGGAAAAAAGCGCCAGTCTAGATGCGGATCTTTTGGAAAATAAAGCCTTTTCCGAAAGATCCCTTATTTTAAGAGGGATAAGGGATCTTTCGGAAAAGGCTTTATTTTCCGAAAGATCCGTGTCTAGAGTGGCGATTTTTTTCCGGCAAAGCTCCATGCCAAAACAAGCGGCAGCCATTTTTATGCTAATGAAGCAGCGGAGATTTAAATCCCCGCTTCATTTGCAATTGCGATACGTCTAATTTGCATCCCTTTTACAGAAAAGGGATACAATCTAGATGTAGCCTTGGAGTATTGTGTCCAGTTCTGGGCACCGCATTTCAAGAAAGATGTGGAGAAATTGGAGAGGGTCCAGAGAAGAGCAACGAGAATGACTAAAGGTCTAGAGAACATGACCTATGAGGGAAGGCTGAAGGAATTGGGTTTGTTTAGTTTAGAAAAGAGAAGATTGAGGGGGGACATGACAGCAGTTTTCAGATATCTAAAAGGGCGTCATAAGGAGGAGGGAGAAAACTTGTTCATCTTGGCCTCTGGGGATAGAACAAGAAGCAATGGGCTTAAACTGCAACAAGGGAGGTTTAGGTTGGACATTAGGAAAAAGTTCCTAACTGTTGGGGTAGTCAAACAGTTGAATAAATTGCCCAGGGAGGTTGTGGAATCTCCATCTCTGGAGATATTTAAGAGTAGGTTAGATAAATGTCTATCAAGGATGGTCTAGACCTGTGGTCACCAACCAGTAGATCGCGAGCTACGGGTAGATCTCAGGGGCTCTAAGAGTAGCTCTTGAGCCCTCTCTGAACTGCGCACCTGCGCAGTACATTTACATTAGATTTCCTCATGTAATGTAGGCGGGGCTTCAAGGAAGGGGCGGGGCGGTAGATCTTCACCTGTTCTGAGACTTAAAAAATGATCTTGGGTGTAAAAAGGTTGGAGACCACTGGTCTAGACAGTATTTGGTCCTGCCATGGGGGCAGGGGACTGGACTCGATGACCTCTTGAGGTCCCTTCCAGTCCTAGTATTCTATTCTGTATAGAGGGATATGTCCAAAGCTAAAAACATGAGCTGCTGTACTTGGTAGGGATGTTAGATATCGTGTAATTGAATAGTCGTGTAACTGTATGAAAACTTAGCTGTTACACGAATATACAATAGTCCTTGGGGATGGAGCTGGCAATCAGTGTGCTCCTGGCCCCACTTCCGGGGAGCCCCCTGCCTCTGTATCTGAGCCAGCAGCATGGGATGGCAGGCAGGAGCCAGTCCATGAGAGGAGCCAATTTGAAAACCAGCTCCCGACGCAGATTGGCTATCTGCTGCCCTGCATTGTTGCCTCTGATACAGTCAAAGGCTTCTCCATGGGGCGCTCAGACCCCCTGTGGATAGGGGATGATGCCGAGAAGCAGCCTCTGTCCATGGCAGATCCAGGCTTGCCGCAGACAGAGACTGCTCTGTGGGATGTGGAGCTTGGGCTGGGGAAACCAACTTTGAGATGGCTTCCCCCCAGCACTGGCTCATTCCTGCCAGCCCCCACTCCTGCCTCTGTAGGAGGCAGCAAGGCTGGGCAAGTGGGTCTGCAGGAACCAATAAGCGCAGGGAGCTGGCTTGAATGTTGGCTCCCCACATGTAATGGTTCCAGCCTGCTCCCCTCACTCTCTGTGCTGCTGCCTTTCTATTATGGGGACAGGTGGATTCAGTGCTTGTGGGGAGCCTGCTTAAGGCTAGCACCTCACGGGCACCAGCTCCTGCTCGCTGTGCGAATTGGTTCCTGATTCAGAAGCAGCAAAGGGGGAGGGGGAGAAGAATGCATGTAGTCAACATGATTAACCAATAAGCCTATGCGTATCCGTTAATTGTGTAGTTGTTGACACAATGACTTCCCTAGCACTTGGGTTTATGTGCTGTCTAGGAGCATAGACTGGAAGGGCTCTCCTGAACCATCAGAGCCAACCCAGCCCTGCCATCTCATTCCAGTCTCAGACTCCCTCTAGGAACTAGTTAAGTTGTCTTCAACTCCTAATGTGAGGCTACTCTGAAAATCCCTCCTCTGATGGAGGGTTTCTCCTTCCTGCTTAGGTGGGCTGTAGTAGATCCCTACCACGATATCACCTTTGACCCCCCCCCTCCTTTTATCCTCACCCAGAGACTTTCAACAAGCGTGTCTCCTATTTCCATCTTAACTTTGGTCCAAGGAGCTACATTTTCAATATATAAGGCTACACCTCCTCCCTTTTTTCCCTGCCTGAGCAAGCTGTATTATCCCAAGTCTCTGGGATATCTAGTGGGTGCCCCCGGAACTGGATGTGCCCATTGGTCATGGTCCCTGGCCAATGAAGGGCAGCATACGCAGCCTTCGTGGCCACCCATGTGCCTGGCACCTAGGGGCTGCTTTCAGAAGACGTGGAACCAGGGCAGGTAAGACTGTCTTAGCTGTGGGCCCTAGGAGGCACTGGGGGGAAGGAGAAGTTGATTTATAAGGCCTGCCTAGGCTTGGGGCAAAGGGGGGTTGTTCCAGCCCTTTGCTGGGCTGGGGAGGAGGTCACATGGCTAGTGGCCCCCCATGTTGCCACTTGATGCTTTAGCCAAACACAAGTTACTGGGCTCAATGTGAGTGGCTGGATGAAATCTAATGGCCTGGGATCACAGTGTGATCAGGCTGGAGGAGCACAATAAGAAATGTATCAATCCTGGTTGTCTTTTAAAGAACCTTGAAACCAGCCAAGTTGGGGTTCCTTCTTCCATCCCCCCGTTTTCCTCCCTCTCCTTAAAAGAAGTAAATGTCCCTAAAAACAAGTGACTGGAGCTAGTTCACCTTTTAAAGGATGGTGCTTTCCTGGGGCTGATTTAAGGATTGAGGGGCAAGATCAGGAGGAAGCTGTGGTTTGGGATTCAGGGGCAGTAGCAGCAGCAAGGAGTGTACAAAGATTATTACAGTAGAGCGTAGGGTATAAATACAGAGGTGTATGCCAACACAGGATGTTACAGATAAATAGAAATCAGCAAACATAGAGCACTTTTATCCCAAGAGTCCTAAAAGAGCTGCCCAAGGAATTCTCTGGCCCGCTGATGGTAATTTTTAATACTTTTTCAAATATGAAGGAAATATCAGAAGAGTGAAAGGGTGGAAAGCTGACATGGGATTCAAATGAAAGAGAATTAAAAGGCAGGAATATAAATAATGCCAGGCCTATTTTATGAAGAACTGATCTTATCAAACAATTCTGATTTCACACTTTGCTGAGATGACAAGTTTGATTTATAAAGTTAAGTGCACAGATGCCATTGACTTATATTACCACATAACTAGCTGAATATATTATCAGCAACAGCTCCCTCTAATTTTTTCCATCCATCTGCAGAATACATTTTATGTGCACTGAGACAGGAGCAGATGTGCACCCCCAGTAGAAACACATGCTGCTGGCAGTGGGTAATCTTCTAATCATCTTGGCAGCATCTAAATCCCTCCTGGGTGGCTACCCAAGCATGCAGCTTACAGGGAACACTGTTTATCAGCAGTATACAAGATCAATAAAGCAACTTTGCAGGAGAGGGATAGCTCAATGGTTTGTGCATTGGCCTGCTAAACCCAGGGTTGTGAGCTCAGTCCTTGCAGAGGCCATTTAGGGATTTGGGGCAAAAATTCATCAGGGATGGTACTTGGTCCTGCTGAGAAGGCAGCAGACTGGACTCAATGACCTTTCAAGGTCCCTTCCAGTTCTAGGAGATAGGCAATCTCCATTATTATTATAACTCTCCCTCCCCCCAGCTAAATGATATCTCAAAAACCAGTTGCCAATGGGCACTCATCACCAAATGGAAGTATATGTGGTGGGTTCCCAGAGATCTTTATGAGGCCTGATGTTATTAAACATTTTTATCCCTATGCTGGACTTGAACATAAAATCACAACTAGAAAATGTTTGCAGATGGCATAAATGTTGGTGGAGTGCTGCAAAAATAACATGGCCCGGCCAGCCCTGCAGAGCAAACTGGAAGTCATGGTAAGCTGGTCCATCCATCATGGTGTCCAGAATACCCAGAGGCTGCTTCCTTCCCCCATCCAAAGTCCCTCC